CGGAGGCTTCTCCAGGGTGGCTTTCTTTTCCCCAGGGGGGTGCCCCAAACTGCTCATCCTTTGCCTCAGGACTGGGATAGGAAGGGGAGGCGCTTTCTCTTCCCTTCCAGGGCTCACCATCTCTCTGGGAGCCAGCTCCCCTCAGGTTAGCAATTTACTGAGAGTGTGCTCTCTTCCAGGGACAGTGCTAAGCAAGCACTGTGTATCCATTTTTTCATGATATTCCTTGCTTCTGTGAGTAAAATGGTGGAATTCCCACCAGACAGACAAGGAAACTGGGGCACAAGAACCGTTAAGCAGCCCAGCTGAGCAGCTTGGCCGCGGAGCAGAATCTGTGCGACTCAGAATCCCCCTGGGCAAGTTCTAACATCTAGTGTCTTTAGAACCTGGGAGGAGAGAATGGAGTAGTCCTGGGTCCTCCCTCCCCCATACCCCCGCCCCCCTCCCCCACTAGAGGGATCCTGGTGGATGATAGACCTTTATCTCTTGGCATCTGCCCAACTCTGGTCTTGGCAGTCTTTATCACACACTCAAGAATGGCCAGGGCTTGGGTAGGAGGAAGCCAGGCTTGTGAGTCTAACTTGTTTTTATACTTCATTGGAGGTGGAGGTGGAAGGGGTTCATTGCATCTCTTTAGATTATTATAGGGTATCATGTGTCAGTGGGTCAGCCTAGGTCCCCCAGAGCCACAGTCTGGGGGACATGAGGAGGGCCAGGCTGCCCCTGTCCTGCATCCCCGGTCTGGTTTGGGAATGTGAGGGGCGCAGCTGCGGCTTGCGTCCTGGAATGCAGGCAGACCGGCCCCTCCATCCCCTCCCTCCCTGGGCAGCCAGACGGGGACGGCTGCGTCTTAACTTCCTCAGCCCCCTCGGGGCTGCAGACCCCGAGGCTCCTGCTCCCCGTCCCGCCCGCCAGGCCCGCAGGATTACGTTCGGCGGGTCGCTGGGGCCCCGGAAAGGGCCTCTTCGTCTCGGCCTGGCCGGGTGCGCCCTGCCCGCCCCGGCCGCCTGCCCCCGAGCGGCCTGCGGGTCCGAAGGCACCCCTGATCTGAGCGGCTGCTTGGGCCCAGGCCCGGCCGCGGGGTGGGGACGGGGGCGCCGCCGGCGCTGCGTCTGCGGAGGGGCACGCGTCCCTGGGAGTCTCCGGAGCCCCGTGGGGCTGCGTCACTCTTCGGCCGTGCCTTCAAATGTTCGTGTGCCCCAGACCTGGGTGGGAGGTTTGGCATCTCCTCGTGCTCCTCCCGTAGCTGCTCCGTCCCTCCAGCTCACCGAGCTTTCTCGGGGTTGAAATTTCCCCCGGGAGCCCATGGCCGGGGCTTCCCGGTCTTCCCCGGCTCGAAAATTCCTGGTTGCGCGAGTTTACCTTCGGTTACGGTGCCTGCCGCAGGGAGCCGACGGCCCAATAGCGCCCTCTGGCGGGAAGCAGTGGATGGGCCGCACTCCTTCCTCGCCGGGGCGGAGCTGGGTGTCCTTTGCCCCTGGTGGGCTGGAGACTTTGCCCCCGGCCTGCCATCCCCTCCCCCATCTACCTGGAGAGGAGAACCCCCTCTCCCTGGCACACACACATCGGACGGTCTCACCCACAGACTTCCACTTTCTGTTAGGACATGCATCAGCGCGCCCAGAGAGACAAAAAGCCTGCAGCATCTAGGGTGGTTTCTTCCAGAAAAGGGATGGGAAGCCCCAGGGAGAGCTTCCTTCCGCAGGGTGGCTTGGGTGGTCCTGGTGGCTCTGACTTGTCCGCAAGGTTTCAGGCTTGGACCCAGAAACTTAATGGAGAAATGCTCAGGACGTTTGGAGCCTTCTTAGCTTGGAAGAAGGAGTGCCCCCCTGCCCCCCACCTTCTGGTACTGCCTCTGTGTATCTGGAGTGGATCCTACAAACACTGGGAGGGGGATGGTGTTCCACCTTCTTTGGGGTCTGGGTAGAAGGACTCTGAGCCCGGCCGTCGGGTATTTAGAGCTAGGTACCAGGCAGTAGATGTTGCTGAAGACTGGAGGACCCACCCATGGGATACTGCTTGCAAGTGGACGCCCCTGAGCACTCTTCCCTCTGCCACCTTTGGTAACTCAAGCAGGGGAGGAGTTTGCTGAGCTTGCAAGGAGACTTTGGCCCGAAACCATTTTGCAGGCTTTGGGGACATAGTGACCTTCTGAACCCATAGAAAACCAAAGTAGAGGCCAGAGGCCTCCTTGGCTGCCTCCTATATTCCTGGCTCCTTTCCCTGAGGCATTTGTGGGGAGCTCTGGGGAGACAGTGACACCACGTCCTGTGCAGTCACTGAGCAACGACTAAGGGTGCAGAGAGAGAAGGAGTGCCTCTTGCATGTGCTCTCCCACTCAGGCAGACACACGTTTGATGTGCTTTTCCCCTGGCGTCCACACACGCTTCACTCTGAATGTTACTTTATTCCTTCGCTTTTCTTGTGAGGGTTGCCCTTGTCATGTCTTGTCCAGATTCTACCCATAGAAGATGTAGGAGTGGTGAGTACTTTGCATCCTACCCTGACCTCCCGGGAGGAAGATGTTTTTCAGAATTTCACAAAACAAATAAGATCTGATATTTGCAGCTTCCCATGTCCTGTAGCATCTGCTATCCCATGTAGACCTCACACTGATACTGTGAGGTAGGAATTATGAATCCCAGCTTGCCAGGGCAGCTGAGGCTCAGGGAAGCGAAGGGATTGGCTGTGTGGCCGTGGAGATTAGATAGAGGAGCTCGGACTTGAACTCCTGGGACCTTTTGTTTCTGTCCCCCTAGGACTGCTCCTTCTGACCAACAGATGCATCGGTGTGTAAAAGAACCCAGTGAAATTGTAAACCAGACTTAGAGTTGGGGGAGGGGGAGGGGATTCGAGGCAGAAGGCCGTGGAGGCCCTCCCTCGAGGGTCTGATGGGATAGGTTAACCATTTGTCTTCTGTTGAGTGGAGCCTGAGAGCCCCGAGTTCAGATCCTGGCCGGGTCCCGTCAGCCCGCGTTGGCAGCCTGGGCACGTGACTCTGCCTCCCTGCGCCTCACTTTTACCCTCGGCGCTGGTGTTGCCGTGAGGAGGAAGGGAAGGAACGCGGGGTAAAGCTCCTGGGGGGCCGTCAGGCGCGGCAGCCCCTCCTGTTACTCCCACTGGGGCTGTACGTGGTGCCTGCTTGGGGGAGCCCTGTGGGGTTTTCCAGCTGGCTCTGCCTTTGATGGAAAAGGGGAGACCCTGCCCCTGCTGAATCGGGCCCAGGGGAAGTGGGGATGCCGTGTGAAGCCAAGGCAGCAGGTGCGGCCATTCAGAGGCCACTGAGATTGGTCCTGGACACTGGTTCCTTTTCCGTCATTACCTAGGCACACACTGATGGCCTCTAGTTCTGCTTTGCTAGAGACGGGAAGCCAGACTCTATTTATAGAGGATCTGGAGGGGGAGAGGGCTGCAGGAACTGACTTTCCTCGGAAGTCAGGAGACCCTTATGCCGGGCTGCTGGCCCCAGGGTCCTGGGCCTTGTGACAAGCTCCCCTTCTGACCCTCTGGGTAAGAGCTGGGGGTAGGTGTGGCCAGCCTTGGGGGCGGGAGGGCAGGGCAGGCAGCTGGGAGGTGTGGGCCCCCCTTGCTTCCCTCTACTGAGCAGGGGTAGGGTTGAGGACAGGGCGTGAAGAAGGATCAGCCTGGGCCCCGACAGTTAGGAAGTTGTACCGTTTAAATATGACATCATGTTGTGATCACAGCAGACTCTTGCGGGCCAGATTTTTGGGGCTTGGGGCTACTGAAGAGCCAGACAGTCCTGTCTCTCACTGGCTTTGTTATCTGGGCAGGTTCCACCACCCCTTGAAGGCCCTTTCCCCGTCTGTAAAGGGAGGATCAGAATTCCAGCTTTTATCCAGTATTTTAGGATTCACGGAGAGACCCCATACACACAGTGCCTAGCATGGTGCCTGTTCTTAGGGATTGGTGTAGATACAGCCGTTGCTTTCTGATAAATGATATCCTCGGCGCCAGGGACTGAGCATTTCTGACCCCCAGCAGGTCGGCATGGAAAGTGAGAGTGAGCAAGTCCTTGAATATGGTAGGAATGAGGGTGTGGTGTTGGGGCCAGGCTCTCTGGGCTGTGGGGCTGTTGAGGGTCTCAGGGGGGGAGGATTGAAGTTGAGGGGTTGTCGGCGGTTCCTACTCCTGCCCCTCCAGCTATTCTCTTGTCTGGAGACTGGGGAGATCCAGGGTCCCCCTGTTGGCCGCCCGGAGCCAGGGTAATGGAAGCTTGCACTCGATTCGGCTCCCTTCTGCTGTTAAAAGCAAAGTAGCGGGGCCCTGGAGCCTTTGGGGCCAGGCTGCTTGCCAGGCTTCCGCAGAAACAGCCTACAGAGCAGTCCTGCCCCCTGCTCAGCTGAGGGGGTGGGGAACACTGCACCAGCCTTGACCCAGCCCCCACCTCCCCACGTACCTTACCCTGTAGCCCAGGGCCTCGGGAGGAGCATGGAGCCTGGGGTTTTGCTTCTACCTGGTCAGAAAGGAAGGTACCATACCCCAGGGACCACTCCAGTTGGGGGGGGGTGGTTTGCTGAGAAAGCCCAAGCTCCTGGAATTTAAGTGGGACCTGGCACTGCCTGGGCCCCTCCCCATGACGTGGGGCCCCTCCCGCCCATTCTCCCCGCCTTACCCTGTGGAGTCAGAGTGCCGAGTTCTAGGCAGGCATTTCTGACTTCCAGCCAGCCAGCTGCACAGCCCTGTCGGGAGGGAACGCAGGTGCCCGAGTGCCAGAGGTAGGAGAGCCTCAAGGGCAGCCCAGGAGCCTCCACAGCCCCTTCAGCCTTGGGCTGGGGAGAAGAGGTCAGTAGAAGCTGGTTCTTAGCCAGGCTGGTCTGGGCTGATAGCTTCCTGCCCCGAGGCTTCCTTCTCCCAGGGGTGGGGCAGGTGCTCAGAAGTCATTAACTCTTGGGTGCAGCAGGCCGGGAGGGCACTGCCCCTGGACGGTGTGTTCCCAGGATCCCTGGTTCCTACCAGCTCTGAGCGTGTTCTCTCTGCAGACGCCCTGCTGGCAGACTTGGAGTCCACCACCTCCCACATCTCCAAACGGCCCGTGTTCTTGCCCGAGGAGACCCCCTACTCATACCCAACTGGAAACCACACATACCAGGAGATTGCCGTGCCACCCCCTGTCCCGCCACCCCCGTCCAGTGAGGCCCTCAATGGCACGGTTCTTGACCCCCTAGACCAGTGGCAGCCCAGTGCCTCCCGATTCATCCACCAGCAGGTAAGGTGGGGACAGGGGCCGGGTAGACAGGGAATCGAGGCTTTGGGGCAGTAGGAGGTTGTCTGGCAGCAGCTTGGGGAGCCAGGAACGAATGGGATCAGGGCGATGGGGAGAGGGGCCAGGAAACGGCCGGGTCTCCCAGAGGCCACGTGAGGGGGCAAGTGACCAAGTATTAATCACCTGTCTCCTGGCTGGAGTGTGGGAATTCCCTGGTGAGACGGTCTGTGAGCAGGAGCCTCCTGGGGGTGACTCGGGCTGTTCCTTTTCCTCCCCTGGGGGAAGCTCTGAGCATTCTGTTCCCTGCAGCCTCAGTCCCCGTCACCCGTGTACGGCTCCAGTGCCAAAACTTGCAGCGCCTCTGTCCCCCAGGACGGCGCCGGCCCCCCGTGTTCCCGAGCCGCTGAGGAAGAGCACGTCTACAGGTAGTGACGCAGCCCTCCGAGCGCTCCTTCCCTGCCAGGGCCAGGGCTCCGGCCTGGCAGCAGCCGGCACAAGGCCCCGAGGCTGCTGCCCAGCTCATCCTGTCTTGGGCTAGCCTGGTGGCCTTAGCACTGCCATCCCCGTACAGTAGCAGGGCTGGGCTGTCACGTCCCCGTGTGTCGTTGAGGAGCTGAGGCAAGACTTCCTTCCTCCCCTCTTCTCAGCACATCCCTTCCCCACTGTCCCATCTCTTGCTGGGGGAGACTTCACACCCGTGCCACCTTAATCCCCTGGAGTCTTGGGGGGGCTGCCAAAGCTGGGGGGTGCCTCTCACGGTGGCCTCCCCTCTGCCTCTCAGTTTCCCCAACAAGCAGAAGTCGGCCGAGCCTTCACCCACGGTGATGAGCTCCTCCCTGGGCAGCAACCTTTCTGAACTCGACCGCCTGCTGCTGGAACTGAACGCGGTGCAGCATAACCCCCCGGGCTTCCCTGCAGGTAAGACTGGCCCCCTGGGCCCACCTGCTGGCCTCTGGATCCCCAGAGGGGTCAGGGCTGAGCAGCCTTTCTCTCTCGCTCTTCCAAGATGAGGCCAACTCAAGTCCCCCGCTGCCTGGGGCTCTGAGCCCCCACTATGGCATCCCAGAGAATAACAGCCCACTGGGAGGCAAAGCCGGGCCTCTGACGAAAGAGAAGCCCAAGCGGAATGGGGGCCGTGGCCTGGAGGATGTACGGCCCAGTGTGGAGAGTCTCTTGGATGAACTGGAGAGCTCCGTGCCCAGCCCCGTGTGAGTATCACTGGGCTCTCCCGGGCAGGGGAGGTCTTGCCCAGCCAGCGCTGGACTCCGGTGTCTGTCCGCTTGGCCCAGTTGTCACCCCTTCCCTCTGCGAGGGTCTGTTGTTTGCCAGGCCCTGGACCAGGCACTGGGGGGTTCGCAGAGTCCCATGGACACCCTCCCTGCCTTCAGTGAGCCCCCAACCATCAGCAAAGATGACATTGTGCATGCCGAGGGTGCCGATAGCTTAGTGGCTATCTGTGCAGGGTCTGGAGCCACGCTGTAAGGGTTCGGATCTTGGTTCCGTCCTTACTGAGCGTTGTCTCTCAAGCCTTAGTTTTCCTGTGTGTAAAACGGGATAAAGAGATATGGGATAATGGCGGTAAGGCCACCTGCCTTGATGGGATGAGACCCAATAATACACGGAAAGTTTCTGGAATGGTTTCTGGCTCAGAGCACATAACGCACATGGATGGTTGGTGGTTACTGAATGTTAGCCCTTCTTGGTGTTACTGTGTTGTTGGAACAATCTCACAGGTACATCATGCGGTGTTGGGGGGGGACACACGTGGGGCTTGGGCTTGTTTAACAGGCGAGCTTGAACTCGGGCTGGGAGGGCCAGAGCTGTCCTCCTGAGCAAGGGGCCCGTCGAGCTGCCCTCTTCTCCCACCTCCTACCTCAACTCTGTTCCCGCGGCTGTGGTCGGGAGCTGGTGGGCTTCTCTGGAGTTGGAGGGGGGCCCCCATGTGAGAGCTGAGATGTTGAGACCCTGGAGAGGAGGGGACCACTCTGGGGGGACACAGAGCTGGCCTCTGGGGTCCCCGCTGATGCCCTGCCCGCCCTGCAGCCCTGCCATCACTGTGAACCAGGGTGAGATGAGCAGCCCTCAGCGAGTGACCTCCAGCCAGCAGCAGACACGCATCTCAGCCTCCTCAGCCACCAGGGAGCTGGACGAGCTGATGGCCTCCCTTTCGGATTTCAAGGTGCTCCGAGACCCCTCCTCTTCCCTGCCCCCACATTCTTCTTCCCCTCTGCCTCAGCGTGAGTAGCTGGAACTCGGGCCCTCAGTGTTTGGGTGCCTCACCCTGAGCCAGGGACCCTCCGGGGCTCTGGCCTTGCCAGGATGCTGGGGAGGGAGGGTCAGACCAGGCCTTATGGGGACTGGGCTGCCTCATGGCATCTGAGGGCAGAGAAGCACTTAGCAGGGAAATTCCTTCCTCCCGGGTTGCTTCCAGCTCCCAGCCACCCAGGCCAGGGGATCAGGAAGCTGGGACAAAGGGTTCTGTGTTGATGGTTGCTCTTTGCGGGGGAGGGCATTCTCTGCTGGGCCGTGTGGGCCTGGGATCCTGTGCCTGAGAGGTCATTTGCCCTGGAGCCCCATCTCCCACACTGGCTGTCTGTCCTCAGCACATCCCTTTTCTGTCTGCCTCTGGCTTCTGAATGCACAGGTCTCCTTTACCAGCCTCCCTCCATCCTTCCCCCTACCCTCCACAGGCCTGAGCCCCCACAGGTTTTGTCTGTGGGAAACCGAAACCCCTCAGGCTCCTGGGCCAGTCCCGCATGCGGCATCCCTTCCCCTCCCGTCCTGGGCCTCTCAGGCCTGCCAGACCCAAGATGTTTTATTTAGAAGATGCAGTGCCTGACTGATCTCCAGCAGTTGCTGACTTCACCCTTCCACGTGGGTCTGCCTGAGATCTTTGGGGCATGAAGTAGGGAATCTGAGAAGGGGAGCAGGCCATCTGAGTGCTCTTGGCCCTGAGGGGTACCTCCAGGAGTCCCTCCAGCTGGGGTTTCACAGTGGGGGATGGGAGCTACCTGGGCTTGTGACCCTCACGTGCCAGTGGTTGTGGGTGGTGAGTGGCCACCATCAGAAACAAATCCCTTGGGCTTTGGTGTTGGCCTTGGGGAGCCCTGCGCTACCACCCTTTAGGCTGTTTTTACCCCTTTTTTTTTTTTTTTTAGATTATTAGAGAGAGAATATGACCAGGGGGAGGGGCAGAGGGAGAGAGAGAGAGAGAGACTTTCTGCTGAGCGGGAGCCTGATGTGGGGCTTGATCCCAGGACCCTGAGATCATGACCCAATCTGAAATCAAGAGTCGGACGCTTAACCGACTGAACCACCAGGCGCCCCTGTTTTTACTTTCTGAGACAGCCAGCGTTGTAGTGCCCACAAGAAGGTGCGCTGGTTGTAGCTGTGCCCCAAGATGAAGGTCTTGGGGGACGCAGGAAGGCTAGGATTGTCTGGGGGAGACAGCCAGGTTGAGCAAAGTTTGGAGGAAGCAGAGCAGCTGCCTGCGGCCGACTCTCTCTCAGTTAGCGTTTGGGCTGCCCTTCCTGGTCACTGTCTCCCGTGGTCCACCCTCTGTAGCCTTTTCTCCCTTGTCCCTACTCTGACTGGGGTGGCGCCACAGGCGTGGCTCAGTGGCGGCTTTCTACTGCCTGGGTTTGATGGCCTCCATCCCACCTTTGTGGGGTCTGGGTCTTTTTCGCAGGCCAGTCCCCATGCTTCGGGTTCTCAGCCACCTCGGTCTGGTCTTGGGCACTGTCGGTGGTGGCTCTCAGAGCCCTCAGGCCAAGCCCACCCTTTGCAGATAGCACCTCTCCTTACCTCTCCCATCTCTGCTCCTCTCCTTTCTGCCTTTTGTCTAGACCAGCTCCTCTGCTGTGGCCTTGAGCTCCCTGGAGCTGCCTCCCAAACCGGCGCCATCCCCACACCACATACCTTCTTCTCCTCCTCCTCCTGGGCTCTCTGTATTCTTGCCATCCACTACTGAGCCCCCCTCTGGAGGCCAGGCTCCCACCCAGGAGATCCGCTGCTTGGAGGGCCAGGGTAATGGGTGGGGCCTTCTACCTCCTGTGGCTCCCAGCTGGCTTGATTTGGCTGGCCTCCAGGCGACACCTGACACTCCCGGCTCAAGGTCTCCCTCTGTGGAGGGTTCTCTGGGGCCGTTTGGTGCAGAGAGCCAGGCTCAGGTTTGGAGAAACCTACCAAACCTTACAAATGAGCTTTCCAGGGCGCCCCCCTGCCACACACCACCCCGCCAAGCTGGGTGCGCAGGTCCCCAGGAGCTGTTGGCTAACCCCTTGTACCCAGAGGAAGCCATGGCTGCCGCTCGGGAGCAGCTGTGGGCTTTGGAGGCGCCCAGGCCTGAGATCCCCGGCGGAGCCACACCCAGCTTCCAGGAAGTACCTGAGCCAGCTGTCGTGGCCGGGGACCGGCAGGCTATCTTCCCAGACACCTGGAATCTCACAAAGGAATGTGGACAGCGGGAGCGGAGGGCAGAGCCAGAGCCAGGGGAGCCGGAAAGCAGCCGCCCGGCCCCAGTTGACGAGGAGCAGTTAGGTGGACAGACACCCATGAGGGGAAGGCTGGTCAGGCCCACCCAGGGACCCGACACCCCCACGCGGCCAGAGGGCGCCACCGAAGCTGCTGCCGAGGCCAAGAGGGGACAGCCGGAGCTTCCACCTGCCATGGTCATGGACACGCCCAGCACGACTGAGAGGATTTGCACCTCTGGCCAGGCAGGCGCAAGCTTCGCACGGCTGCCGGGCATGGCCATTGGGCGGGCCTGAGTGTGGGCCACGCCTGGCTAACCGCATGTAGCCTCCCACTCTGTGCATGTCTGCTTGGGCGGCAAACCCAAGATCGCGTGGCCTGTGACCCTGATGACCAGTGTTCAGCAGTGGGCTCTGTGGGGCCAGTGGAGCCTCTGGGCCCTGGAAATTCTCTTAGTGACAGTCCGCCTCCTGCTTGTTTGAAGGCTCTTTCCTCTAGATGGACTACCCCTGAGCTCCTGACGTGATGTGTGTGAAATGGTTAAAAGCATGGGCTTTGGAACCAGATAGTACTGAATACGAACCACGCTTCCAGTACCTGCTGCCCTGTCTGACCTTGGGCAAACCCCTACCTGCCTCAGCTTTCTTATCTTAAAATGGGGGTAATAGTAAGGAGGCCTGGCGGGCTCAGTCAGTAGAGCGTATGACTCTTGATCTCGGGGCCGCGAGTTCGGGCCCCATGTTGGGTGTGGAGCCTACTTAAAAAATAGAAAATGGGGTGGTAATAGACCATTTCCCCTGATCATTGTCCAAGGATTAAATGAGGTAATGCCTGTAAAGTGCTGAGAACCCAGCACATGGTCCTCAATAAGGCATGGCTGATGTTATTGTTCTTATTTGCTTCTTGCTCGATTAAAATTTTATGTCCTTTCCAAAAAGCAGACTAGAGCAACAACAAAAAATCCAAAAGCACTACAAATGAGCAGGTTATAATACACACCAGGAAAAGAAAACTAATTAAAAGATTTACTGGCAGGAAAGATCACATTTTTCTACGACAGATCAAATAAAGAGCCTTATGCCTTTTCAAGAATATCCACTTACGTCCTTTCAAAGAATCTTGGAATAATCAGCCAAGAAAATACTTTAACCCCATTTCAAGGATAGAGAAGCTGAGGCCCCTGGAGGTGAAGTCCTGCCCAATGTCATTGCTGACTTGGAGGTGAGCGCTGGGTGGAGGGTCTGCTCTGCCCCCTGCCTCCACCTCACCTCTGCTTGGCTCTTCTCTGGCAGTCTTGTTCTGCCCTCTCCTCCTGCCCGGGGCACCTGTGTGTGGACTGAGCAGCCTGGGCTGAGCCCAGAGTGGGACAGTGACAGCTTCCCCCCCCCCCCAGATCCGCTCTGTGATCAGGAGGAGCCGGGAGACGGGCCGCGCACACCCCATGTCCCGGGAGCCCTCCCCTCGCCGCCGGCTGGACCCCGCCACCCTGAGCAGAATCCCCTCCCAGGAGCGGCTCATCGCAGAGCTGCAGGGTCGGCTGGGCATCCAGCCGGAGGCAGCAGGGGCAGCAGGGGCAGCGGGGGCCCCCGCCGAGGACTGGCTGACCGAGGGTGTCATCATCACTGTGAAGCCTCGTGGGAGGCGGGCTGGGGGGCAGCTTGTAGAGAAGGTAGCAAGGAGGTGCCCGGGGCTGGGCCAGGGCCAGGGCCAGACCAGGAGGCTCTTGCCCAGGATGGCTGGAGGGGAGATGTGGTGTGTGAGGGAGGGCGGGGGAAGGGGTCCTGCAGCCTGTGGCCTGGTGAGGCTGGCCTCACTCTTGGTGCCAGGATGGGAAGGCCCAGGGGGAGCCTGGGGGATGGCGCCGTTCCCCGCTCCTCCGCTCTGTTTCATCTCTCTCCCTCCTTTCTTCTGCCCAGGTCGTCTTCCCTCCCGGCTCCCCCGTTCCCCTAAGAAGAACCTTCTCTGCTCTGGCTTCTCCTCTCTCTCCTGTCCCTTTGCTCTGGCAGCACAAAGACGCCTCAGCCCGCAGCCCTTCTCCCTCGCCCAGCCTGCCTGCCCCCTCCTCCCTGGGGCCCTCCACTCTTGCCCGAGGTTCCCCTGGGGTCCTGAGTGCTGCAGCAGGGCTTCGGGAGGAGGGTGTGCGGGGCCCCACCCCTCCCGCTCCTGCACCCCACACTTGGAGGTCCGTGGGCTGCCAGACCGACGAGGACCCGCTCTTCCCCCCGATGCAGGCAGGCCTCCCTGTCCCCGTCCCGCCGCCCGGGCCATGTCCCCACTCTGCACACTTGCGGGCACATAGACACACACACACACACCCCCTCTGGCCCTCCGTCCACAAGTCAGGACAGTACCACCGCCCTTCCTTAGACCTTGCCTTGACGCTGGACCCTCTCTTAACCTGCTGTCTGTACTCCCAGCCCCTTGATACCCTGTCCGCCTCCTTCCCAGTGGGGCTTCTCTCTGCCTGCCCCTTCCACATGGCCCTTGGTCCTGCTGCAGGTTCCCCTGCGGAAGCCATTCCCAGAAGGGAAGCCAAACCTACTCCTCCCCTCCAGCCCCCAGGCCAGTACCCGGAGGCCTCTGTGCTCTCAGCCCCACTTACCCTTCCTTTCCAGTGTCCATGCCTTTAGTTGGCTCCCCTTCTTATCCTTCTTCATCTCTCCCTGGGCTGCTCTCTCTGGGTCATTTTTCTCTAGACTTTTCCTCCTAATTCTGGTACTGCCAGTGGTGGGGGGGTGGTGTGTGTGTGGGGGGATCCTCTTATCTCATCCTAGATTCCCTTTTGTGAAATGGTCCGATACCGAGGTCTCTTTCTCTTTCTTCCTTAATTAAAAACAGTTTTCTTGTCCTCGTTTCCTCCCCTATCCAAGATCCAGGGCCTGGAGCAAGTGGTGGATGGAGAAGCGTGGGCGGCCAGCTGGCCTCTGAGCGACAGGCAGAGCAGTCCCGAAGGGCAGGACAAGGGAGGGGTCAGTGCCGAGGCTGGGGGCCTAGGGTCCTGCTTGCCTGTGTTCTGGGCCTTGGTCAGGCCAGTGGGGTGCCTCAAGCCCCTCTGACCGCCAGGATGTCTTGTGGATGCCACTCCCACCCCCCCGGGCTCCGGGCTCCGGGCTCTGGGTTCTGGGCTCCGGGCTCCGGGCTGCGGGCTCTGGGCAGCGGGCTCCGGGTTCTGGGCTCCGGGTTCTGGGCTCCGGGCTGCGGGCTCCAGCGGCCCTGGAGGAGGTTGTACTGCTTGCCTCCCTCAGCCCCTCTGTCCCGGAGGGAGAAAAGCCCCCGGTGCCGCGGTGCTGCGAGACCTCATCCCCAAGCCTGGAAGTCCTGACTGCCTCTCTCCCTGTCTCCACAGTTCATGGCCCAGGGGAAGACGGGGAGCAGCTCTCCCCCTGGGGGGCCCCCGAAGCCTGGGAGCCAGCTGGATAGTATGCTGGGAAGCCTGCAGTCTGACCTGAACAAACTGGGGGTCGCCACAGTTGCCAAAGGGGTCTGCGGGGCCTGCAAGAAGCCCATTGCTGGGCAGGTGATGAAGGTGGAGGTGGAGCAGGGGAGGGAGCTGCAGGTGGCCGGAACTTGGCTCCTCTGGGGAGGGTGCTCTGTGGCAGGCCAGGGCCCTGAGCCTCGAGCCTCGTGCCGCCTCTTTCCCCAGGTTGTGACCGCCATGGGAAAGACGTGGCACCCGGAGCACTTCGTCTGCACCCATTGCCAAGAGGAGATCGGATCCCGGAACTTCTTTGAGCGGGATGGACAGCCTTACTGTGAAAAGGACTATCACAACCTCTTCTCCCCGCGCTGCTACTACTGCAACGGCCCCATTCTGGATGTGAGTCCCCGCGGCTGGCGGGAGGCTGGCGTACCGCCCAGCTCTTCACCGTGGCTCTGGCCATTTCATGGTCAGGGGGGCCACTCAAGCCCGAGCCCGAGCTCACACAGCTAGGAAGTGGTGGGGCTGGGATCCAAACCCAGGCTGGATGCAGGACCCCTCTGCCTCTGCCTCCCTTCCACCTCCCATCCCAGATTCCCTGCTGCGGACACTCCAGGGCTTAGGAGCCCTGCGCTGATAAATGGAGTGGAGTGCTGGTTCCCTCCCTCTCCTGCTGTGAGATGTTGAGAGAAACGCTCAGCCTCTTGGAGCCTGTTTCTCCACTCATAAGATGGGAGTCGCAATAGAACCTATGACCTTAACCGCATGGGAAGATTCAGGGGAGAGAGTGTGTCTGGCATGTCACATCCTTCTATAAATTGGAATTCCCGGTGGTAATCAGAGCACAGTGAGCAGAGACTTGATCTCGGGGGGGGGGGGGGGGGGGGGGGGGGGGGGGGGGGGGGGGGGGGGGGGCGGTGGGAAGGACAGTCCTGCTGGTGAGTCTCTGCTGTGGGATCTGGCCAGTGGGCTGGCACCGGGTCTCTGATCTTACACTTTGCTCTCACAGAAAGTGGTGACAGCCCTTGACCGGACGTGGCACCCTGAGCACTTCTTCTGCGCCCAGTGTGGAGCCTTCTTTGGTCCCGAAGGTATGACTGGGAGGCAGACCACCTTGCTGCCCCCCCCCCCCCGCCAGCGCTTGGGAGGCAGGGGCAGGAGACGTCGCTGCTGTTAGAGTCAGGATGGCTCCATCTCTAGAGGCCCTCACTCGGCCCCCCAAACCCCTGCTTCTCAGGGTTCCATGAGAAGGACGGCAAGGCCTACTGCCGGAAGGATTACTTTGACATGTTCGCGCCCAAGTGTGGCGGCTGTGCCCGGGCCATCCTGGAGAACTACATCTCGGCCCTCAGCACCCTCTGGCATCCGGAATGCTTTGTGTGCCGGGTAAGGAGCTCCCTCATCTGGAGGGAGCTGGCAGTGGGCCGCTGGGAGAGAAGGTTCCCCCCACCCCCTTGTGCTCTCTGGATCTAACTTAGGGGTTATTGAAGGAGTGAGCAGATAGGGGGTGTAATTCTTCAAGTCTAGTGGGTTCTGGGCCAGGGCTCACAGTGAGGCTGGGAGAAACCAAGGGGAAGGCAGGCATGTGCCCCAGCCTTGTCCTGTGTGGCAGCCCTGGGACCCGTCGTGTTCAGCAGAAGGGCATGTGAGAATGAAATGAGATAATGCAGTACCAGCTTCAGTGGAAACAGCCAGTGGTCTCCAGACTGTGTTCTGGGGGTAACGGGAGTCCACAGACGTTAGGGATCCAACAAGGGCTCTCGGACCAGATAAGTTTGGGAAACACTGCTCACCTCAGGACTTCTCAGTGCCTTTTATACCCAAGTATGCAGGTTGGTTTCTGGGCACAGTGTTCAGCCACCTGCCCAGGAGTCAGACCTCTCTTTGAATCCAGGCTGTGCAGCTTATTAGTAGCTGTGTGACCTCAGGCAAGTCACTGAACTTCCAGGCCTCAGTTGCCTCCTCCGTTGGGAGAATGCAGTAAGTGCTTAGTGCAGCACTTGGCACATAGGAAGTGCTTAGCCAGTGGGAGTCATGAGCCTGACAGCGGCTGTCTCAGCCTGGAGCCCCAGCCTGAGCCCCCCGCCCTCCGCCCTGCCCCCTCTTCTGCCTGGCAGGAGTGCTTCACGCCCTTTGTCAACGGCAGCTTCTTTGAGCACGACGGGCAGCCCTACTGTGAGGTGCATTACCACGAGCGTCGAGGCTCGCTCTGCTCGGGCTGCCAGAAGCCCATCACGGGCCGCTGCATCACCGCCATGGCCAAGAAATTCCACCCGGAGCACTTCGTCTGTGCCTTCTGCCTCAAGCAGCTCAACAAGGGCACCTTCAAGGAGCAGAACGACAAGCCTTACTGTCAGAACTGCTTCCTCAAGCTCTTCTGCTAGGCACCCTTCATGGTCCCCCTGCCCTGGCCCAGCCTCCCCAACGGCTACTGTGACCCAGAGGCCTTGCCCAGGGGTGAAGGGGCAAACCCGACCGAAACTGGAACCCGTACCCTCGGCTGGTGCAGGTTGGCGAGAGGCCCTGCTCTTCTTTCCCCTGCCAGAGCCTCTGGGCCTTCCTCCTGCAGCCCTCCCCCGGCTGTCAGCTCTTCGTCCTCCCCGGAGCGGAGGCTGGAGGGCCCCGCCCTGCACCATGTGTGTCCCCGCCAACCCGCCTGGCCAGGCCAGCAGCCCACACTGGAGCCATCTTTTACTCCTACTTTGGCAGTGGAGCCAGGGGCAAGGGCAGGCAGGGTCAGACGGGGTCTTTTTTTATCCTTCTCCCCGATTCTGACCTGACCTATCTTTGTCCTGAGAGTACTGGGGGATACCGGCTCCCTTCAGACAATGCCAGCATAAATTCATCTATCCAAGGGTGGAAGTGTTTGAGGGGCCGCGGAAGGTTTCTTGTGCTCCTGCCCTTCCGGTCTCCCCGGGCCTGGGCCGCTGCCCCCCGAGCCCCCATAACTGCTCTGGTTCTACTGAGAAAGGCCTCTCCAGCAATAATGTTTTATAGTCACTTCCTCCGTCTCTGGGACGGTGTGAGGTGGGGAGTTTTCCCCCCCGTGCCTGGACACTGTACCGACTTTGATAGATTTCTACACTGAGGTTTGAATTCATACCGTCTGAGTTGCTTTTACTTCTCTATATACAAAATGATTTTGAAGAGATTTTAAAGATGTCCCCTTTTGTACTCTGCTCATCCATGGCCACTGGTCCTGTTGGTGACAGTGGCTGTGGTGTGGGGTTTGCCTTGTACTGAGGGCTTGGGGGTGGGGAAGCAATTTGTATTTTATTTTTTCTTAGCACAAGCAGGTGAACCGGGAGCAGCTCTCTGACTCCCCTTCCTTAACTTCACAGCTCACCAGGACCGTTTGATAAACTGCTGTATTTTAAATCCCCTTCCTGGATACTACCTGGGCCGGCAAGCTCTTAACTGAAACTGGCCTCAGGGTGTCTTGCCCTTTGGGGCCTAGCATTCTGAACCTCATCTGTCCTGTTCCTGAGGGAGGAGAAGGGGAAAGTACACTTTGGGGGTGCTGATTCCTGTCCGAGTAAGCCATTAGGAGCATTTGCTCCCCTGTGAACTTTCTGGCAGCAAAGAGAACCCACCGGATAATATTCTCAGCCTCCTCATTGCTTTTCTGTGGCTCTTCTGTCTTCTGAGGAAAGCTGGTGTCTGGTATTGACCGTGTCTTGTTGGTGTCTTGTTGATTGTACTGGGCCCGTCATTTCCCCAAACTTGCTGCCCTTCCTGGAGACTGGAGGTCTGGGGAAAGGGCCCAGGTGGTTGCAAGGGGGCCTGATAGGACTCGGCGGAGGGACAGATCCTGCTAAAGTAGTGGGACGCCTCCAGAGCTCTGGCCCCCGTGGAGGAAACGGGAGCAGGCAGGCCTGGGGTTCTGGGTCAGCAGAAAGGGGCCCCCGTGGGGTCTAAAGTGAGGAAGAGCCAGACCACTCCACTAGCCTCAGAGCAGAGGCTGAGCGTGCGGGGGTCTCGGGAGAGGGTCCCCTCCTTTGAGGCAGGATTGGGAGCAGCCCCGGTCTGAGGACGTCAGCCAGGCCCCTCCAAAGGTCTGATGTCTCCACTTCTACCCATAGGCCTTATTGCTCTGTTTACAGTGACCTGCCCCAGGCCCCTCCCCTAGGGGGGGACTGGGGTTTCTGGGGTCCATCCTCTGGGTCAGTGGTTATTTGATGATTTTATTTTATTTTTTTCCTCTGTAAACTTCTAACCTGGCTTTTCCCCGTGTCAGTTCCTGTGATTTATGCCAATAAAGTTTGCCATTATTTTCACCCATGCCTAGTTCCTTTTCTTGGTACCAGAAGAGAGACCAAACCTTCCCCAGACTCATGGGGACCATATTAAAGGTAACTCAGTGATGTTCCCTTACTTGAGGTTAGAAAGCCACCCCCCCACCCCCCACCACCGGGATGATGGTATTCCTTCATGAGCTTTGCTCTTCCCTCATCAGTGGGTGAGGAAAAGCAGGGGAGCAGTGTTGGGCCCTGTGTGAGTCAGGCCCTGCTCCAGTGCTCGGCTGTGGATTCGCTGAGGGCATCATGTGCGCCTGTGGGTGGCCTCACAAAGAACCTGAAAAAGGTTCAGAGAAGAGAACTGACATGCACATCACAGTCCTCTTAGTGAGCACAGAGGCCGGCTGTGAATGCAGGGCTTGCCTCTGCCTGTGTTCCTGCTTTGCCCCCCCCCCCCCCCCCCCCCGCCCACGTGTTGGCACCACACCTTGGGTGTGGAACCTTCCCAGCGGAAGTTGGCGAACTTACAGTGGCGTATGGGTCTCTACTGCCCCCCAGGGGTCGTGTCCATATTTGCATGCTTCCTTCTTGTCTGAGCCAGAACTCCAGTCCTGAGCCCCCAGCACCTTCCTGAATAGCATTGTTCCCCTTTGAGATGTTTCACAATTTCCCTGTTCTCTGGAATGGTTTCCCAAAAGCAGCATGTTGAATTCTAGTTGGAATCTTGGCCGTTTCACGGTGAGCTCAAGTGGAAATTACCTTCAACCCTCACCCAAAGGTGATGATGGTTTATTCTTCCAGACCATGTCAAATTTATTTCATTTTTAGAAATGGATATGGCACATTCACTGTAATCTGCTTTTTCACTCAACTGTACTTTGTATTTTCCCGTGTCAATAAATATAGATCTGCATCATTTTTTAATGGCTCCATGATATTCCATTGAATTGATGTACTACAATTAGAGAGGGTATTTATATCATCAGAGCCAGGATGTCCTTGGAAAGCTACCATGTGAGTGTGTATATACTTGGAAAAGTCATTTGGGGAGAGACAGCCTCAGGGTTTGGAAGGGACTGTATAGCATCGTGAGGCCCATGGGCTTTGAACTTGCTCCTAGATTTCAGTTCCGAAGCCATTGTTCACTGGGGCTTGAGCAAGCTGTTTAACCTCTCTGTGAATTTTCTCATTGATAAACGGAAATGCTAATACTGTACCTCCTCAGGAAATTGTTGCAAAATTCACAGCAGTAATGTGTACGAAGTACTTAACACAATGCTGAGCATGCAGTAATACATTGTCATTAAAAAGGGATCTTAGCAGTAATTGACTTGACCGGTTTTCTAAACAGCTGTTTACCAGAGGCACTAGGAGGCTTTGAAACAGAAATACAAAAATTTCTAACTTGAAAGGGTGAAGATAGAAACACCCCGTCTGCCCTAGGATCTACCTCAGTCATTACCAGAAAAAAAAAATTATTGATCTAGGACACACGTTCAAATAAGTGTTGAATGAATGCATAATAAAAGAAACTAGAATTTAGCAACTTCCTTCTACATTCCAGGGACTGTGTTAAGTCTTTTATTTTTAATTTTTATTTTTTTTGAAGATTTTATTTATTTATTTGACAGAGAGAGAGATAGTGAGAGAGGAAACACAAGCTGGGTGAGTGGGAGAGGGAGAAGCAGGGTTCCCGCCGAGCAGGGAGCCCGATGTGGGGCTTGATCCCAGGACCCTGGGATCATGACCTGAGCCGAAGGCAGACGCTTAATGACTGAGCCACCCAGGCGCCCCCCCCTTTTTTCGTAAAGATTTTATTTATTTATTTGACAGAGACACAGCAAGAGAGGGAATACAAGCAGGCAGTGGGAGAGGGAGAAGCAGGCCTCCTGCCAAGCAGGGAGCCTGATGTGGGGCTCGATCCCAGGACTCTGGGATCATGACCTGAGCCGAAGGCAGATGCTTAACTGAGCCACCCAGGCGCCCCGACTGTGTTAAGTCTTAACACATATCTCATTTAATCCTGATAGCAACTCTAGAATGTAGATACTTCATTATCCCCATTTTACAGTTAAGGAAAGGGAAACAGAGGCTCAACAAGGTGAAATCACTTCCTAAGATGACACAGCAAATGGTACAAGAAGGATATGGACCCAGGTCTTCTGACTGCAACCTTGCATTCATTTGCTCAACGGATATTGATTGTATGCCTGCTATGTGCCAGGCACAAGACTAACGTCTCTGCTTTGTGGAGCTTGCATTCTTGCAGGGAGTGACAGACAACCACAACATAGTAAGTTATATAGTGTGTTAGAAGGTGTAAGTACTAAAAAAAAAAAAAAAGAAAAAGGTGTAAGTGTTACCGAAAAAATAGAACAGAGTCAGGGGAGAGTGGTAGTGGATTTTTTGGGTAATTTTAGAGTCTTTTTTTTTTTAAGATTTTATTTATTTGAGAGAGAGAATGAGATAGAGCATGAGAAGGGGGGAGGGTCAGAGGGAGAAGCCGACTCCCCGCTGAGCGGGGAGCCCGACGCGGGACTCGATCCCGGGACTCCAGGATCATGACCTGAGCGGAAGGCAGTCGCTTAACCAACTGAGCCACCCAGGCGCCCTTTTGGGTAATTTTAAATAAGGCGATCAGGGTAGGCCCCCTTCAGCACATGATATTTGAGTCAAGACTTGTAGTTAGTTCTGTGGATATCGGCAAGGAGCCTTCCGGAAAGATGGACTAGCTAGTGCACGACCCCTCAGGTGGGAGCATGCTTTGGAAAAACAGCACAGAGCATCGTCTGGCTGGAAGGGAGAGTCAGTAGGAAAAGAGATGAGCTTATAGGGGTGGAGGTCCAGAGCAGATCCTGTAGGGCCTTGTAGGCAGTTTAAGTTTTAGGCTTTTACTCTGAGGAAATGGGAAACTTTTGAGGAATTTTGAGCAGATGAGGTAATGATCTGATTTAGGTTTTAAAGGGTTCCTCTGTTTTCGTAGGGGAAGAACAAACTATAGAGTGGACAAGAGACCATGCTGTTTCTAAAGCATGTGCAATTATTCCTCATCTCTGCATCGTACTCTTTTTAAGTTTTGCGATTTGGCCAAGTGGCGGAGAAAACTTGAACGCTCAGCCTCCAAGCTCTAGTTCCTGAACGCGAGCAGCTCCAGACCAGCAGAGGGAAGTAGCTTTGAGACAGCGGCTCCAGCATGAAGCGGCGCCTTCCTTAACAGCTTTCTTTAAAGGCGGCTTCCCGTTGGCCGGAGTGGCAGCAATATCATCCAATGGCTGTCTACATCAGTAAAACGTCACCAGACAGGCGTTGGCGCCAGCCAATAGCTGGGGGGACACTGTCCGCGTCTTCTGATTGGCCGCTTCGTTCACATATAAAAGATGTGCGCCGGCCCACGGCCCTCCTCTCTCCAGGCGTCCTCGTGAGAGGTTCGTGTTACTGTTGCAGTTGCGCCGGGCACTGGCGGCGGGAAAGATGGGGGGGGTTCTTTGTGGGATTTTTGGGAGGGGGCGGGCCCGGGCTTGTCCGGCCTGGGGCCTCGGCGGTGGCTTGCGCTTACCGAGTGGCGGCGACGGCGGCAGCCCCAAGCCGGGCTGGCGGGCGCTCACGCGTGGTCTGCCCTGCATAGGCCTCGGGCTTGGAGCCCTGTGGGGCTGTGGTGTCGGGGGGTGTCTGAGCTCCCTCTTCCTCCGCAGTGACATCGTCTTTAAACCCTGCGTGGCAATCCCTGACGCACCGCCGTGATGCCCAGGGAAGACAGGGCGACCTGGAAGTCCAACTACTTCCTTAAGATCATCGTGAGTGCGGGGATGGCTCGCGGTCGCCATGCAGCTTGGGCTCTGGGCACTACTAGGGACCATGAACTGTCCTGTGTTGAGCGCCTCCTGGGTGTCAGCTATTGAACGACCATTTTAGGCACATCT